ACCACACTTCAGACTGAAGTTTGAGGGGAGGGGGGGCTGTAATCTGTTTTGATTCCTTTTACTTCCAAAAGACTGCATTAGTTATGGAAACTCTAGAGATAAAGAAATAAGACCAATCTCAAGTCATTGCAAAATCCGTGGGATATTCTGTTTTTCAACAAACTCTGGCTTCGTTCAAGAAGGTGAAGTAGATATTACAAACTCTTCCTCCTGAACTGTACAAAGCTGTTACTGAAAACTGTTTATTCATGGGAAGCCAATGTGCTTTCATACTCCTTTTTATCAAAAGAAGTACAAATTGTACTTTTGGTGCAGAACTCAACAGGGTGATCTGACAGAGAGGGGCATAGTGAGTAAAAAACAGCATCTATTATGAAATTAACATCAAAGAGACCCCTAAAGATGAAATAGAGCCTTAACCACTGGGTTGTTTCCGTCGAGGAAGGGAAGCAGTGTTTCTGGAATTGGCATTTCTGAACACACAGGACCATACCATCTGACGGATTTCTCTCTGTTTTGAAATGGTATTTGTATCACTCTGGCTAAGAACCTTTTATTTGATTTTTGTCCTCTAACAAAGAAGCATGATGCTTGAAGAACTGTTAAAAGGGCAGTAGCTCTGTGCCCATGCTCCATCAGTCCCCTAACTCCTTCCAAATTTTGAATGGCATGCCTCCTTATCTCCATACACTTATCCTCTTCTTTCATATATTGCTTTTTTGTTCCCTGGTTGTGGTAGAAAAAAATTCTTGCTAGAAATATGCTGCATAAATACGGCTCAAGTGAGTACATTTTATAGAATAATGTTGAACTAAAGTGGATTTCATTAATAAGTAACAGCACATTAGGTGCTTTGTAGACCAAAATTACTCTGCGCTGGATTTTAATATAAATAATACCAAGATATCACAGCATGTATTTTATAGTTTATTAGTAAATTTCTCTCGTGTCAAAAAAAAAAAAAGTTCTCTCTCAAAAGCTGGCATGTCATTTTCTGCTTAAAGTTGGTTAGTCACCCTGTAATTTTCAAGATAGAATTTAAATTCTTCAACCTGAGGTATTAGGATTCTCCAGAGAGACAGAACCAGTAGTGGATATAGATTTAGATATAAATATAGATGTAGGCATAAATTTATTATAAGGAATTGGATCATGCAGTTATGGAGGCTGCCAGATCCCAGTACCTGTAGTCAGCAAGCTTGAGACAAGAAAGCTGATGGCATGGTTCTAGTAGGAGTCTGAGACCTGAGACCCAGAAGAGCCCATGATGACATTTCAGTCCAGATGCCTGCAGGCTTGAGACCCAGGCAGAGCTAGTGTTTCAAGTTGAGCCCAAAGGCAGGAAAAACCCTATGTCCCCACACAAATGTAGTCTGGCAGTAGTTTCCTCTTCCTTGTGGGAGGGTCATCCTTACACTTATTGGATGAGGCCCAACCACATTGCTGAGGTTATCTGTTTTACTCAGTCTACCAAACAATTCAGATGTTCATTTCATTCGGTCACATCCAGGGTTTGTTTGTTTGACCTGTGTCTGGGCACTCTACCACTCTACAGCCCAGTTACATTGACACATACAATTGACCATCATACCCAGTGAGGAAGATCCTTCATGATCCAGCCAAAACAGGTCACCATGGTTGTCCTGTAAACTCCTGCCTCCGGCCATGAAGAGCTAGTTTTATTCCCTTAAAAGCATCTTGACTCTTCATAACCATGTGTTCTCACAGATGTTTTTCCCTTTGTTTGAGTGTGATTACTCTTTTCTTAGTTCAAATCCCTCCAGAAGCAGACCCTGAAACAAGAGTTCAAATGAAATCATTTATTTGGGAGATGATCCCTGGAATCACCAGCAGGGAGTGGGAAAGAAGAATTGCAAAGGGAAGAAATTAGAAATTAAATTAACCACCCATCCACTGTGGCTTAATCCCAGGGTTGGGGCTGGGGTCAGGGAGAACTCTGGGAGTTTTTGAATTAGTGCCCCTGAGGAGCAAGGGAACTGGAGTACTTCTGTGCAAATCCTGGCAGTCATTTGTGAAAGGCTACCCTCTTGGAGGGGTCGATTCCCTGATATTTCTCCTGTGGCCTCCAGAAACCCAGAGAAAGCCCTCAGATGGAAACCCAAGGGCTGGTGGCTGAAAGTCGGTCTGGCAAGCACTGAAGTGTCAAGGAACAAGGGGTTGTAGGCAGGGCACCCACAGCTACAGGGAATCCACTGCAGCCTTTCCTTTCCCCCAGCTAATTCTGACTCTCCCTTGAGGATTCAACTTAAGTCTTGCCTCTTCTGGAAATCCTTCATAGACCTTCTCTTTGCCTCAGCTGCTTCTTGTCTGTTTCCCAGTAAAACCTCTGCTTACCTGCACCAGAGAGTCTGTTACTTCCTTTTGTGATTGTTGTTTTACTTTTCTCTGTCTTCCACTTCTTTGGGAGCTTTTTGGAGGAAGGGACTGTCAACTGTATCTTCAAGGACTTCCATGGATTCAACATATGGTGTTGGTCAATAAATGGCTGTTTAAGTAGTGAAAGTAGTAATAATAATGGCACTGTAACACTAATAGCCAGTATTTATTGAATGCTCATTCCATGTAAACATGTATTACTAGCTCTAGCAAGTTAGTAACTTTATTATCCCCGTTTCCCAGATAAGAAAGCTGAGATATAGGTTTACATAATTCACCCCAGATTGCACAACCGTATATAGTTTGGCCTGGAAGTAAACCCAAGCAGTTTGAATCCAGATCCTGAATATACTCTTAACCACTATATGAATAAATGAGTGAAATGAATGAATAAATGAATGGTAATAGCAAGTCTGATCCTTCAACACCTAGAGACATTCTAGAGATGATGTGATCAGTATAGTCTATAAAAACCAGCTCTAAAGTTACATTTTCCAAAAACCTTTCCCCATAACCTGACTAGAAGTAGCTATCCCTCCCTTGACACCTTTTGTAATGGCCCTGACCTGACTACTCTCTATTATGTGTTCAAATTGCTCTGCATGTCTTACTTTCCTTACTAATAGTAAGTTTGTAGATAATTGTGTCTAGATGGTCTTGGTATTTTCTATTTCTCCAAACATAAAGCTACACATATAATAGACTATGGAGGAGTATTTGCCAGATGGACAAATAGATACATAGATGACAAGCAAAGAGATCTTTAACTCTTCTTTTATCTTTTCCTGGAAACTGTGGAGACTCTTTTTCATCCCACTCTGATTTCCAGAAAGTCTGTTGTTACAGAGAGGGTCTAGATATTTTAGATGCTCTGAAAAATAAAATTTTATTTAAATCTATTTAAGTTCAGGGAAGAATCTGTGAAGAGTTTACTTTGTAACATTTTGCTAATCATTTAGTTAGAAAATCATATTTCTAAGAGAAAGATATTCTTTCTCCCAAAATTATATTCAGAGAAAAAAAATGAAAGAAATAAATTACACAGAAAACCACTAATGTTTCTAACAATTTAAATGGAAGGAAATTTACTTCTTTAACAGTTAACCATGAGTTACTTTCCCAAAACCTCAACTTAAATGCATTTTCCATGCCTGGTGACTGGTATATCTATAATCTTCATTTATAATTGGCACTTTGAAGAATGTCACATGGAATAAATTTGGCTAAGAAATGACTAACTTTAAAGCATATATCTGGGTGGAAATTACAAGTCTTTACTGAGTCCCCATTGTTTGCAAACCATCATATGGAAACATGTCTTACTATGTAAGAGATAGACAAGAAATATAAACACAGGAATTCTCCAATTTGACTGAAAAATCAGAGAAAATTAGAAATAAAACCTCAGAAATTTTATTCAGCAGAAATCTCTTTATAGATTTTAGTGTATAAAATTAATTTCATTAGATACTAGAGGATACAAAGGAACATAAGACATAGTCTTAACTTTGAAAAACTTAGGATGTAGAGATGGGTACTTGGAGGATAAATATGTTAACAAGTAGACATATAATTTGGTAGTAATAATAAGTAGTATTTAGCATTTAATATTTCAGTAACCGTCCTAGTGCTTTAGGTGGTATTATCTTATTTAATCCTTACCTTTTTCATTAGGCAGACAGGAGTCCCTGCACAGTCACAAACCAGATCAGAGCTGTCTTATAAGATTGATTTGGCAGCTATGTGTAAAAGAAGTTGGAGTCAGGAGTGAGAAAAAGAGAAGAGCAGTTAGGAAACCACAAAACAGGGAAGGCAAATGGCACTGATAGTCTGAATTCAAGTTGCAGTGATGTGAATAGAAAGGAGTAAATGTGGAAATAAGACAGGCAGGTTCATACTTTGATTCATTCATGGAAGGAGAAGAGACCACAACACGTCATAAAAAAAAAAAAAAAAAACAGATACGTCACCCAGAGTGTAGAGGAAGCACATGTCCTTGCCCAATTAATGGGATTTTCACTGGGATGAGGGGAATTGAATGGGAATGATGCAACTGGGTCAGGGTATGGGAGTGGGTACTTGAACTTCCATGGTTAAAGGTTTAGATTTGCACATGTGGCAAATTAGCACTTTTCACAGTGCTGTGCAGGGAATGATTGATGTCAGCCTACACCCAAATGGTGAGCTTCATGTTTCTCAGATGCTTGACACGAGAGCACATCCCTTTCATTGATGGAGAAAGTGTGGCATTTGAAGTGTGCGATTTTTATTTTTCGATCTTTTTAAGAATTGAAATGACCAAAGTGACCATACGTAACTTTTATAAGTAAAACAAGTGATTGCATATATAGTTTGTTATACATATATAATCATTTTTAAAAGGAAATTTGAATCTTAGGTGTTAAATTGTAGTCTATTGTATATTTACATTACATTATATTAATTTAGCATAGTAATATAAGAAAATTGAAATGCATGTTCTAACACTCTTTTCCACTGAGTTCTTTCTTGCCTTTGAAGTTGGATTAGTCAAACTGGAGAATTCTGAGGTTTCTAGCTTTCTTATGAGTTTTTCTTTTGTCTTTCCCCCCTTGTTTAAATAGATGACAATAATGAAGAAGATGTTGACGTGAAAGAAGATTCAGGTATTAAATTTATGATTTTATTCGTAAAGGATAGGTAAGGATCATTTTGTTGTTTATGTACACCTCACAATTTTTCCAAGAGAGGCAAAATAAGGTTAATAAAATAGGTGAAGTGGATTACGAGTACACTCATCTCGATGATCACTGGGTAATATATGGAATTGTTGAACCCCAATATTGTATACCTGGAATTAAAATAACACTGGATGTTAACTATACTGGAATTGAAAGAAAAGAAAAAAATAGAAATGTACACTCAAGGTCATAAAAGAAGAAAGTAATTGTGCTAACTAACCCTTGTGGCTAATACAATTAGCGTATTTAAGCAGTAAGCTTTCAGCTTTCTAAAAGCTGAGGTAAAAATGGAACCTGATGTTATAATAAATACAGTTGTGTAGCAAATCATCCCAAAGCTAAGTGATTAAAAAACCTGCTTATTATGCCCATATATTCTGCAGGGCAGACATTCAGACAGAGCACAGCAGGACCGACTTGATCACGCTGCTCTGCAAGGTCTGAGACCTCCTCAGGAAGTCTCAGTGGCTGAGGGCTGGAATCGTGTGAATATTTGTTCCCTCGCATGTCTGGCTGGCAATTGATATGCTGGCTCTTAGCGGAAACCTCAGCTGTGGCAGTTTTCTGAAACACCTGTGCTTGGCCTTTCTATAACCTGAGCTTCCTCACAGTATGGCAGCCAGGCTCCAAAGTGGTTTCTCTAGAGGCAGCAAGTGAGCCAGCAGGGGCCGTACCTTTTTAAGACTCAGCCTCAGGAGTCCCACAGAATTACTTCTGCAAAAATCTTTTTGGAGCAGTCACTAAGAAACCTGCCCAGACTCATGGGAAGAGAAAATAGGCTCAGCCTCATGATGGGAGCTGTGAGGTTTTGTAGAGCATGTAAGGTCTGAAAAATTGTGGCAGCCATCTTTAGAAAATACATTGTTCATATATGTACATATTTGTACATATTGGTACATTATTGTTCTCACTATCAGAAATTAAGATGCATGCCTGCTTCTTGAGAAAGACCAGAAATCTAGCGGTTACAAAAATTGAATCTGGTTTAAGGTGGCCACCCAATATGTGCTTGATAATGAATGCATGAATTAATAGCCCTGATTTCAATCCTACTTCCTCTACTTACAGACTTACTACTTACTGATTTCAGGTGAAAGTTTTCTCTATAAGCCTCAGTTTACACCTCTAGTGGCAATAATTATTACACTACCATCTTGTTTGGGAATTAAATGAGAAATCATACCTGAAATGTTTCTTGGACCTTAGTAAACACTCAATAAATTATCACTTTTTTCCTTTTGTACTCTAACAGATATTGGAAAGGTATCGAACTCCATGGTATAAGAACTCCATGTTCCCAATTTTGGCAACCACACTGTTCTAGGTCTGAAATGTGGCCAGTTTTCAAAATTAAAACATATCTTAGAGGTCCTAATTTTGTGTAACCCGCTTTTTGATGCCAGAACTCCATACATAAATCACAGACAACACGGTCTGAGCATCTCCATTAATGGGGAGGAGTTTAAATTCTGAGGCAAACAATCTCATTTGGCTAAAATGGTCCTTCTCCTTGTTGAGTTAAATCTCTCTCCCTCCCCTGACCTCCCACTATCTTTGTGGAAAGATAATAGCTCTCTTCTTTGTAGCTGCTCACTGGAACAATGATCATAACTTCTGTGGAGCTTCTAGCTTCCAAATATGCCTGATTTCCTATGATTCCCTTGGCATCCCAGGGCAGTGGGTTTGGAGGGTGGAGAAGTAGAGGGAGAATCTGGAAGCCAGGACTGAAGGAAGTAGAGGAGGGTCTGGAATAGCAGCTTCCAATTCCCTATCTGTATCCCCTTGGTCCTCACCATTCTTCTACAAGACAAACAGCTTTCTAAGGAAAGTCCTTGCGACTCTCCGATGAGTGTTTCTCCCTGGTCACGAAAGCAAACTTGAAGTGCCAGGAAGTTAATTTCTCTGGAGTAGCCCTCAGCCACCGATAGGCAAGAGTTGGTTGACCTCTGCAGGACACATAGGAGGCATATTGTATTCCAGTGCAATCCAGTAGAAATATAATGTGAACTTCATGTTTAATTTCAGATTTCTAGTAATCACATTGCAAAAAGTAAGGAGAAATGAGTGAAATTAATTTAATAAAATTTTAGTAACATAATATATCCAAGATATAATCATTTGAGCATATAATCAATCTAAAACTTTTATGAGTCTGATATTTTACATTTGTGTTTTTACCATGTGAAATTTTTTAAATCTGTGTGTATTTTACATTCTTATCTCAATTCAGACTAGACACATTTCAAATATTCATTGGCAATATGTGGTATTAGACAAGATATTTTTACCATAGCCCAGAGATCTTCAGTAGAATTGAGCCCTGACAGTCAACAGTAGAGCATGCTCACCCAGTATTAGGTGCCTTCCCTTTCTTGTCTCACCTACCTACTCTCCTCTGGTACTTCCTAGGATAATCTCTTAAATTAAGTACTTGCACTCAACCCCTTGTCTTAGTGTCTTATGAGAAAATCCAACCTAAGACAAAGACTCTGCTTGCCTTTTGTAAAACATTAAGCCCAAGGTGAAATTTCAATTAGAATATCCATTCTGATATTCATGTGGGATGTCTTATTATTTAAAAGAACCATATGTTGGAAAAAGACTTTAAGTGGTCACCCCCATCTTGATTTAGTTCTATGGATTTAATGTTAATTTCTGCTATTTTCATTTATCCTGCTCACATGAGGTATCCTTGGAATATCCTTCAGCCATGGGGAGTACTGCCATTTCAGCCAGCCAATTTAAGGACCTTATCTTGCTAAGGATCATTTGCCTAAGTGCCATAAGTACACATTTCTAGGCAGGGGGAGTTGACTTCTTAATGAGATGCAGCTAGCTATCCAAACCACTGAGTGATTTTAAGAAAGTCATTATTAATGCTAATGCAGAGCCCACAAGATTGGAGTCAGCATATGAGGTTTGGGGGGGCTTTAATTGGATCATCATTTCTGATTTTAGTCTCATCAGGTTTCCTGGGGGTTTGTGTCTGGAAGCTGGGTGCAGCTGTTAAAGTCATACTCAGTGGCCCAAGGATGCTAAGTCACTAGGCCAGAATGGGCTTGGGAAGCTGCTCTCCATTTCCTAATATCTGAATACTGAAATCACAGGAGATTTCTGTGCAGAATGGTTCCATGATGTGCCACTGGCCTTACCAGACATTGGTGAGCAGGCTGACTTCAGTTCAGATCTCACCCTCAGACATGTTGGTTTCCAAGAGAGGTCTCTATCCAGACCATTAACTACTGCCTTTCTTCTGCCCTGCATCACATCTTCTTCTCATACAAGTAGAAATGCTGGAAGGATTTTTAAGAATGCAGCTGACTCTAGCAAAGGGCTACTCGGGACCAATAATGAATAATATTCTAAATACAACAAACCAGTGAGGTGCTGGTAAACTGACTCTCTGGGCTGAGGGAACCCCATTTTGGAGAGTTTGCATATTTTATTAGTGTAAATACCCACACCGTGGTGTTGTTCAAGCTACCAAACCTGAGGTCAATGAATGTGGGAGCTGAGAGATAGGTATAGTCAACTGGCTCACATCAGCCCAAGCACACCTCTGCAGAGCCAGTTTTTAATTCAGCATGTACCTTATGCCAGTCACTCAACATACATGAACTATGTAAGATATGCAACAACTGTAGGAGGATGGGAATGTTATTACATAAGGCTTAAGAGGAATTAGTTTCTGGCTTAAATAGCTGGCCCACTGGTGTGTCTGACCACAAAGCTCATACCCTTATACTCCTGTCTCCAGACCCTACAAGTAAGTAGAGCCAGGAGCATCTCAGATGGTGTGAGACTAGGTCATCCTCAAGGTGAGGCTCTGCCCTCGTGGGAAATGGCAGAAACAGACCAGCTTAAAGGCTTAGGATTCCTTTTAAGTCTTTTATCAGTTTCCTTTATCCTACAATAGAAAATGCTTCCCCATGTCCTTCCATTCCCAAGACCTTGTGCTGTTGAAATGGGACCCGACCAGGAACAGAAAATCAAAAGCCACTTATGGCGGTTCAGCTACATCAGAGTCAGGAGCACAGTTGAGTTCTTCAAGGGGCAAAGCTAAGCTCATGGCCAAACTCCAGGTCTCCACCCTCTGCCAGAAACAGAGACAACACAGATAATATGATATGCTGTCAAGGAGAAGTATGGGTTGCTTTGGAGGAATGTTCCTTCAGCTTCCCCAGGCCAAAGTGAGAGTTGTTCTTGCCCAACCATAATTAGAAATCTGAGCATAGAAGCCATGTGTGTCAGTGACCGTTAGTGAGTGCCTCCATGGGTGTTAGGAAATGATACTATACTTACGTTACAAATGACTATTCATAATTAGCATGTATCCATATTCAGTGACTACCCAAGAAGAGCCCTGTAACTTTTTAATAAATGAAGTACCACTACTATTGGGGTATTTATCTCAAAATGTAGACAAACAGAAACCAATAGATGTCTTTAAGAGATGTCTCACCCATTCACCAAGAATTCCCATTCAGGTTGGGAAGTCAAGTTCATGATCAAAACCTCACTTTCAGGAAAGGCTGGTTTGGGGTTGAATCCTCAGCATTAGAAATTCTCCTTAGTCCTAGTTGCAGTTGATGCATTTCAGAGGTATCTTCCATGGAGTCTTAGCATCTCCTCCCAGAAAGATCATAAGTGTCGCTTTGCCCACTCTATGCATCCTTTTGAGCACAGCATCTGTGCTCAGTGAGCTGTTCCAAGCATCTCATTTCTGTTTTTTCTGAACTCGTTCTGAAGGGTCAACATCCATCTCACACCTGGTGACAGAAGTTTGGGAGAACTGCTAACGTAGTCATTGGCAAAATTTTTCACCCTGGCCATGGTAATGATCTTCAATGTGACTGCCTTGCTACCACAGAAAGCCTACAGTGGCCCCCAAAACCTTTGTAGTCCATAATGCCACAGGTCTTTTAGTCATTTATCAAATGTGATTTTTTGTTCTATTCCTTTTCTAATAAATGGGAAAAGAAAAATGAGTCGTCATAGCTCTGTAGTGTAATTTTAGAATTCTAGCATGAGGCGACAGCTGCTAAGAGAGTAAGAATTAGGCATGGGCCCCATTATGTCTTGGCCTTATAGAAAGGCTTGGGTAAAGGAGAAATAAAACCAATTGGAAATGAAATTCTCAAAACACTACTAGGTACCAGGGACACAAGAGAGATTGGGAAAGACAAATCTCCTTTTCTCAAGGAACTTACATTCTTAGGAGGTGGGATGGAGAAGGGAGACATACAATAAAGAAATAAAGAAGAGGACAAAATAATTTCAGATATATCAAGTGATGTATTTAAGAGAGATTTCCCATGCAAGGACCCTTCATATTAGGAATTTAGAGAAGGCATTTCTTGGGAGCAGAATGTTGCTCGAGATTAAAAACTGAGAAGGAGCTAAACATATGAATGTGTATCTCAGGGGGGAAGAAGAATAGTAGGTGTGAAGATTCTAAGGCAAAAACCAGCCTAGTAATGGCTGAAGAACACAAAATGGTGCCAATAAATCTGAAGCCAAAGCACAAGTGGGAGATGAGGCTAAAGCAGTAGGTAGAGCTCAAGTGGCATGGAGTCCTGGCCCATGGAATTGGATTTGGATCTATCTAATTGGTCTTGGTCTGTGATCCAAAACCAGTGGTAAACAGGTGAGCAACAGGATCTGGTTTAGGTTTAAAAGACATCTCTGGTTGCTACATGGAGAATAATTTTAGGGAAGTTAGAAAGCCAGAAGGTTACTGTGATAACCCAAATAAGAGATGCTGCTGTTTTGGGCTAGGGTGATGATTGCCAAGGATGCACCGTGGATGAATATGGGATATCTTTTGGAGCAGAGCTGATAGGACTTACGATTACTGCCTGGAAAAGTATATGAAATAAAATATTAAGGACAGTATCTCCATTTCAGTGTTTAAATTCTTGGGTAGATAGTAAGATGTGAACTACTATGGAGAGAACAGGTTTGCAGATAGCAAGAGTATTGTTCTAGCTGTGACTAATGGGATTATTACATAAATCTGAAATGCTTGGATGCTTGGTGAGAGATGAGTGAAGAGAAATCATTAGGGATGGAAAGAGGGAGTCACAGTTAAATCCCAACCCTGAAAGGAAAATGGGGGTTATAGGACCCAGGAGACAGAAAGGGTCACGTGGAGAAAGCCAACAGATTGGGGTTATAAGCCCTCGAAGACTACTGGATGCCTAGGAAGAAACCAAGAAATTTCACTGGTGCGTAAAGACCCATATCCCAGGGTACAGCTGGTTGGGAAGTGGGGTAAAGAATGGAAAGTGGATCTGGAGGTGCAAAGAGAAGACATCCAGTCAGAATACCAAACAAGATGTCATGTAGGCAGATGAAGACATGTGCTTTGAGCTTAGTAGAGAGACCAGGACTAGAAATACAAATGAATGCCTAATAAAGTATCTATATCTGAATGGGATGAATTTAGGGATATGATTCTTAAAACTACCTTTAGGTTTTTTTTTCCTATTTAAATTCTTCAGAATTTAAATTATTAGCCTCCTTGGATAGACGTGACCCAAGGGTATTGGGAACCATTGAGAAAAGTGAGAAACATAATAATTTAATCGGGGACATATAGAAGTTGTTTAGAATTTGGATTACTAAAGAAATCTGCTAAATAGAAGGAGGATAATTCCAAGCACTGTGCCCTCCCCCCACCCCAAAATGAGATGACATTGTAGTTCATCTAGCTTGACGTGGAGGACTTAGTAAAATGAACTTGCACCATGGCAACTGTCAGTTAATCCTTGAAGTTTTTAATCAGTCTCCTATGGAGAAAAAAAAATTGAGGGTTTCCTTATGAAGAATTTCTTTTAGTTAAAAAAAAGTCATTTAAGAAGCACCTGGGTGACTCAGTCGGTTGAACATCTAACTCTGGATTTTCACTCAGGTCATGATCTCATAGTTCAAGACCGATGTGGGGCTCTGCACTGGCAGTGCAAAACTTGCTGGGGATTCTCTCTCCCTCTCTGTCTGCTCCTCCCCAACTCACTCTGTCTCTGCCAAAATAAATAAATAACCTTTAAAATAAAATAAAATAAGCATTTAAGATTTCACATTTGTGTGCATCATTAATGATGGTAATGAAAGATGTTTAAGCTGACGCTTTTAATCTGTGAACACTGGCGAATCACAGGCTCGTGTCGAAATTCAGTTTAGCCAAAATGACACATGAATCTGTGATCAAGCGTCACTGCACGTGTGGGTTTCCTGAGGGGGGAAAGAACTTTAAACCTTAACATAATTTTAAATATTTAATATCTACATAAGGATATTTTAAATCTTTATGCTTCCAGAGGTGTTAGAGCCAAAAGGCCTCTCTCCACCCCACAAGAAGAGCAAAGCAAAGAAGCCACAATGTTCCAAAGACTCTAGCGAAGGTGAGTCCTTTTCTTCTGGTCTCTAAAAAATTACTCCACGAAAAGAAACTTCTGGTTAACTTTTAAATTATGCATGTGCTCTCACGTTCAGATATTCCTGAGGGTGCCGAAATCACAGAAAAATTCTTTATCCTTTCCTAATATGTTGATTCTCCCCTGGATGTGAGGACAAAACACCAGGTTTAGGTGGAATTTGTGAAGGTAAAAACCAAGTTTAAAAAAAAAAAACAGTTTCTCAGTTCAATGCATTTTCTGTTCCTGTGAATGCTCAAATTGTCAGTGGTGCTTACAAGTTAAGTGGAGACCTCTATGTCATGCGCAGTGCATGGACTTATTGAAGTCATTTGCTTTTTTTTTTCATGATCATGTTCTGAATCCTGACTCAAATGTCAGCAGTGGGTGCTGGAAATTCTTCTGGTCTTTAGTGTTCTTTCCCACTTTTGAGAAGCCAATGTATCTTACCATTGAATGGCAGGTCCCACTGGGCTCAGTTTTCTGAAGAAATGAAGCTGTCTCTCTTTTACTTACAATACTAGTGCCACCTACAAGGTGTTCAAAATTTTCTATTAAAATGTAGATTTGGTTTTTTTAAGGGGGGGTCTTTAACATATATGAGTATACATGAACTTTTTTTTTTAACATTTATTTATTTTTGAGAGACACAGAGAGAGAGACAGATCATGAGCAGGGGAGAAGCAGAGAGAGAGGGAGACACAGCATGGGAAGCAGGCTCCAGGCTCTGAGCTGTCAGCAGAGAGCCTGACACAGGGGTCGAACCCATGAACTGTGAGATCATGACCTGAGCCAAAGTCGGGTGCTCAACTGACTGAGCCACCCAGGTGCCCCATATATAAGTATACATGAACTTCTTAAAGGAGAATGTATTTATGCTTTCTACTTTCTGTCTTTGGAGCCTCACTTTCACTCCACTGTGAAATGGAGAGTATGATAATGCTGGTGGTGTCAGCTTGGGTCTTTGGGGAAGAAGATGCCATGATGATATAGAAGGGCAGGAAATGTACAGGGGAAAAGCCTCAAAGACTAAAAGGGGGAGGAGCAGGAGAGGAAGCAGGAGGAGGAGAAGGAAGGTCTAGGAAGAGCCTGTGTGCAGTGCAGTCTGAGAAAGTCTGGGGAGGCTCAGAGTGAAGCCTGGCCATTACAATGGACCTGCACTGGGCAGGAATGGCCAGGTTCCAGGACCCCCTTCCTCCAGCTCACTCACCATCTGCAAGCAGCTAGGGGAGAAAGTGGCCACCCTGGGACCCCCCAAAGTGTGGCCAGTGGATGTTGTCAGCTAACTCCACTCCTGGCAGCACATTCTCTCTCAAAGGGAGATCCTGAGCATCTCTCCTCCATGACAGCACAGCATCTGCACAAGTGCTGGGGTTCCAACACTGCCTGCACTGCCTGTTCAGAACCAGCTGAGAAGGCAAAGCTGTAAGAAAGTTTGAAATCAAAAAAGTTAGCTTTGTTACTAATGAGGTTAGATCAGAGCATCTGGTGGCCCTGCCCCCACAGTGGGCTTCTTAAATGCTGGACTTTGCTACTGAATATGAAAGATGACTTAACCTATGTCCCCTCAGTGTGCCCATTGCCTGGACAGAGGCTCTGCTGGTGAGCTTATTAAATGAAAAAGAACAGACCAGGACATGCTCTCTCTGTGGACAGGTGGATCTGAGAAAGACTCAAGATGGGACTATTCCTGGGGCGCCTGGGTGGCTCAGTAGGTTAAGCCTCCGACTCTTGACTTTTGGCTCAGGTCATGATCTCGCAGTTATGATATCGAGCCCTGTGTCAGACTCTGCACTGAGAGGACAGAACCTGCTTGGGATTCTCTCACTCTGTCTCCCTCAGCCTTCCCCTGCTTATGAGTTCTCTCTCCTCTCTCTCTCTCTCTCTATCTCTCTATCTCAAAAAAAAGGGGGGGGACTGTAAAAAACAGGCTTTGATAAATGAGGGGAGGAGGAGGAGGGGAGAGCAGTGAATGTTCTCTGCCCTTTGGTTGAGGAGTGAGGGATAAACATTTCCAACTAACAGTAAACAACAGAAATAGTGTGTATAAAGTGCCTCGCAGGGACCCGGCATTAGTGATGGCTATTATAATTACCATCATAATCAGCACCACAAGAGGATGCACACCATCTTAATTCACTGAAATGTGCTTGAGAACTTAGAATCCTTCAGAGAAGGGCACTCAGAAACGCGGAGTAAGCCAGCAGCTCTAACTGGCCCAAGGCAGTAAGAGAGTAGCCGGGGCATTAAACTCCTACTCATTTCAAGGACATTTCAAGGACAATCTCTTCAGGCCATGAGATGAGGGGCAAAACAACAATTGCCTTTTTCTTGGAGAGGCTCCACCTCCCCTAGCGGTTCCCATCAAATGCACAGCCCACATCAAAAGTTGTTTTCCAAAGCCAGAACCTATTGCTTTGAGAGTATCACGTGGTGAGCCCTGAACCGTAGCAGCTCTGCCGCCTCAAATTAGCATGAATACTCCTCCCAGTTACTTCTTCAAATGTGTAGAAACGTCTTTCACCTCCTAAATAATTTGTGTTGTTTAGGAACATCATCCCATAATCTCGGTATGACTAGGTAATATATATGGCTTTACTTCACCCAAATATATGGTCTCAGAATGCTCTTGTTGCATCTGTGGCATCATGGCCAAAGGTAAATGTTAGCCACTCCAGAGAAACAGAAATAGTGTATTTGTACCTAATATGACTTTCAGGACAAAAAGTCAAAAGTTACTGGGAAGACAGTAAAAAAAAGCAGGATAATCTGACATACCAGTGGTAGATGATTCTGTCATGGGTGATCATTATTTATCACAATGTTTCTATGTTGACAAAATAAACTATGTCCTGAATTCAGTACTGTGGGCATGTTTCACTTCCTCTCAGGATGCAGAGAGTTAACAACCTTTAGTAAAGAGTTACAATTCTTTCCTACTGGATACACAAATGGAATATTGTGTCACTAGGGGAGGGGTAATGTGGATCATGACCCTTTCTGTAGGCTTCTTCCCACTTTAGAGCTGGAAATCCTATTCCAACTTGGTCATCTCCCTAAAACTGAAGACAAGCTTCTGGTATTTTTATTTATAGATCACTCAGCTTAATTCCCCATCACTTGTCCTCATCTCACTTTTCCCCTTCCTTTGGGTTCTCTGCCCTGATTCTGACCCTCGAGGGTCCTTACTGATTACCCAGTTTACCTTATAATAACCATTTTCAGACAGGATCACAGAGAGTAGAGCTGGAACACAATCTCACCTAGATTTTCTGGCACATGTAACCATAATAACCGTATTTTGATCCAGAAGAATTCTGTGAACATATGGGCAAGTTTTCTCCTTCTACAGATCGGTTTTCAAAGCAGACTCCAAATGGTTTTCTAACTCACCCAATTCCACCAGTTTGTTAATGTCAGAATGTCTACTTTTTTCTAGAAACAACGCACCTTCACTAATCCTGTTTGCTTTCTCTCTTCTGGAAACCAGAACTAGTTTTGTTGAAGGAGGCAATGTTGCCATCATTGCAGCCTCTACTGAAAACCTTATTATTTTAGTAAATATTGTACTGAAGTATTGAACATCAAAATAAATAATCGAACAATTTCTAAAATGCATTTACTTGCAGTTTTTGTATCGGGGACTTTGGGATATAGTTTTATTTTCGCTGTCTTGGTTGAACTTTCATGGACCCCAGTGTACTCTGACTTGACCCACTGCAACATCATACCAATAATGAAATAATTAGTAATTTCAGATTGGCTGAAATCTGACATAAATGATTAGCCATCCATGAATCAGCAAATTATAGGCACAATTGTTTGAAAAACACCTGGTGAATACCAAGTCCAGCAATACCAGCTTTCATGAATTTGGAACAATTTTCTTCTTAAAAAACTTAATTGAAAGAATATCCTTATAGAAAACTTGGCACCATTAATAAAACATGCTCCTCTGACAGTTTTCCTCCATCTTCCACCAAGAAATCCTTTAGAAGTTCCTTTAGTGAACATCTCTCAGGCTTTGTGTGAAAACATTATCATGTTGCTTTTTTTTTTTAAGGCAGTTTTTCTGGGTAAAAATGTGAGGATGATCGTTATTTTCTTGCAACATATAAGATTTTCCCCCAGTCTTATCAAATATGTAAGTGTTAAGAAGAAATATCTCAGCCTAGTAGAATCTTTTTAGATGGTCTGTCTTTTCTTTCTGGCTGCGTTGACAGTCTGGTCTTTATCTTTGGTGTTCCTCAGTTTCAGTTTGATGTACCTCAGTGTGGGTTTCCCATTGTCCTTAAGATTTCATGTGCTTGTTAGATATGGGAATGGACTTTTTAAATGTTTATTAATTTTTTTTTTGAGAGAGAGAGAGTGCTTGAGAGGGAGAGAGGCAGAAAGAGAGGGAGACAGAGGATCCGAGGCAGGCTCTGCTCGGTCAGCACAGAGCTAATGTGGGGCTTGAACCCATGAACCGTGAGATCATGACCTGGACTGAAATCAAGAGTTGAACGCTTAACAAACTGAGTTATCCAGATGCCCTGGGAATGGACATTTTTAAATTAAAGTTCTGAATGTTTTTCTCCTACTACTTCACCAAATATTACACTTCCACCTCTCTATTCTTTCTTTCTCTGTCCTTCAGGACTCCTAAACTACATTGCTCCCCGTCCCTTTTCTCTATCCCTATCTCTCTTTGCTACTTCTTTATGGATATGTTTTCAAGCTTATCACTCAATTTTCTAATTTATTTAACTATTTAATCTGATTTCTGTTCTTATCATTTTAATTTTTACAAGTTTATTTGGTTCTTTTTCAAATATAGCTGGTCATTCTTTGTTTATTAACAACATAAAATATTTTAAAAATAATCTGTATCTGGGGCACCTGGGTGGCTCAGTCGGTTAAGCATCCATCTTCAGTTCAGGTCATGATTTCACAGTTCATGGGTTTGAGCCCCACATTGGGCTCAGTGCTGACAGCTCAGAGCCTGG